CGCTCGCGATGTTCAGAGCTCCTAAGCGTCGCGGACAACATCGCTCGCTTTAGTTTCAGGGTTTAGGGTTTAGGGTTTCCACCTGTCTAGCGGCGCGCCTCGACCCAAAGGGTCGCGGGGCGGCGCACCGCAGCGTTACGCTTCAACCCACCCCAAGACCACCCAAACACATAATCTTTTAGGGTTTAGGGTTTTTCAAGGAAACCCTGGACGGGCGGGCATATTTTCCACCAATACAAATAAGCGCATCGAAGAGTTCAATAGGTTTCAGTGCTTTATGCTAACTCCCACGCTTGTGAGACCCCGTTTTTGTTTTTCCACTTGGCCTAGGCTTAAGCCTGGGATCGACCACCCGGGGTTTACCCGTGGGGTTAACCTTTTTGGCCGAGGTTTACCACCCCCTGGCATGAAAAGGCTTCTAAGACAAGACCTGGAAATGCCACCTGTCCTCAACTGTCCTACGAGGGACGACGAGAGAATCATTGTGAGTAGCTGGCTGTGGGGCTCACCCCAGGATTTGCCACGAGCCGGACCGTTCGCCATTAAAAATTGCTCAGCGGAGGGTGAACCCGGGAAGGGCCTGCAAAATGTAAATTTTACCTTGTCTGGTGCCCCACAGGAGAAAAGCCCGCAGACACCAGGAGACTGCGCAAACAGCCCGGGAAGCAGGAGGAGACTATTGGAATAGCCTGGGAGGTGCCGAGAGGCGGACGCTGGGAGGCGCGAAGAGAAAGCCCGGGAGGCATCAAGGGTCATTTTCGGCCGGGAGGCCCCAGGAAACACTTAGTGGGAGGCACCAGGGAGGCAGGAGAGGACCACTTGGACAGCCGGGAGACACCAGGGAGACAGGAAAGGACCATGTGGACAGGAGGCACCAGGGAGGCAGGAAAGGACCATTTGGAGAGCCTGGGAGGCACCAAGGAGGGAGCAGGAGGCAGGAGAGGACCATTTGGACAGCCTAGGAGGCAGCAGGGAGGCAGGAAAGGACCGTTTCTGGGAGGCACCAGGGAGGCAGGAGAGGACCATTTGGACAGTGGGAGACACCAGGGAGGCACCAGAGACCACCAGGGAGGCAGGAAAGGACCATGTGGACAGCCTAGGAGGCACCAGGGAGGCACCAGGAAGGCAGGAAACGACCATGTGGACAGCCTAGGAGGCACCAGGGAGGCACCAGGGAGGCAGGAAACGACCATTTGGACAGCCTGGGAGGCACCAGGGAGGCAGGAAAGGACTAATTGGACAGCCTAGGAGGCACCAGGGAGGCAAGAAAGGACCGTTTGGACAGCCTGGGAGGCACCAGGGAGGCACCAGGGAGGCAGGAGAGGACCATTTGGACAGCCGGGAGACACCAGGAGGCACCTGTCAAGGCAAGACTTCACCACCCATTTAGGGTCAAACCCTTGGGGTTTAGGGTAATAAATATCTACATATTTAGCGCTGTCAGCGCGGGCACGGAAGGTGGGCATGTAAAGCGTCCCGGAGCATGAAGCTAACTCTTCATGCTCACCTTGGAAGGTGTCTTGCACCTCATTAACCTTCGGTGCTTGGTGCTAAGCGTACAGTGCGCGCGTGATGGTATGGAACTCCTAAGCGTCGTGTACACCATCACGCGCTTTAGTTTAGGGTTTAGGGTTTAGGGTTCAGTGGGTTTCAGGGTTCAGAGAAAGGCGTCCAGGGTTTAGGGTTTAGGGTTTAGGGTTTAGGGTTTAGGGTTTAGGGT